CTGTCTTTGGTTTGAGAGTGGGGTTCAGCTTTGCAGAATTTCAGTTTCAAATTGTGAAATTTGAGTAGTCTTCCATTTTGCATGCCCCTCAGTATGGCTACTGCTTCAGTTTCTTCCTTCCCCGGCTTCTTAAGTTCTTTATTGGGCATTGCATGCAATGCTAGAGAAAAGGGAAGTATTCATTTTTAATACTTAGTCAACGTTGCTTCTCTAGTTGTGGTGATAGTTTTAGTGCTGTACATTCAACAGAGATTTCCTCTTTCAAAACTTGTGTCTACACAAGTTTTGTTTAAACTTTTGTTTAAAAGCCAGTCTCATGCTAAGTGTGGCATGAGCAGAGAACATGCCAGACAGACTGCTGTTGCACAGTTGTGTCTGCCGGGTTGCGTTCTTCAGGACTCTATGCTTCCTTGGACTACCTCTTGGGTTTTGAGGTCTTTTATTGCTGCAGTGATATTATTGGGGTTTGTATTTCTAAGGTACAGTTGCTTGTTGAATCTGTTATGGCGTGGGAGATAGTGGTGAGCAGTGGAACAGGGGACTTAAGTCTTATCAAGACGCTTATGTTTCTAAAGCCTGGTACTTTGGTGTGTTTTAGTGAAATGTGAAACTGTCACTGATGGTGTTGAGTGGGTCTCTTAACCCTCATTCTTTACAGCATGGAAACTTTCATGGACGTCTTTCAGATACTCATCTAGCTAGTAGGCTTTGATGCATTTGTGTTACTTCTCACAGTAGTAGAGCTGTGTCAATAGTCATATCAGGTGCTGAATAGTGAAAAGCTTGGAGCAAATGTCTTTGATGTACACTTCTCAAAACTGCAGACCCTGGGACCAAAAATGACCAAGAACCTCCATATCATTTAATTGGAAGCTGGTCTTCTCACTAGCAATGGAAGAATTTAAATATGGAACTAGAGACAAGGATCAGCCTTTTTCAAGGCAAGGTGGTCCCCAGTAGTCTTACTGGGGTTGCCAAAAATGAATCAGGTTTTCAGATATTGGATGAAATTTCAATATTTGGCACTTTTCCAAACTATTAAAAGTTAAGCCTGTGAATATAATTTAAGTGTTTCTTTGGGATTGAAAACCTGTTTAAGAGTGGCTTTTCTATAGCTGGTTAAGCTTGGGTTAGGTCCTATGAATGAGGAACTGATCTGTAGAAATAAATATTTAATTATAATCACGGTGTTGTATTTGCTTCAGCTCATCTGGCTGTGCAGAAAGGATCATTAAAATAAGTATCATTTTAATGTTAACTTCATTCATGTCAAAAAAAAAGACGCCACTAATAGTTTTGCTGTGTTACAGTGGAGTTGTGTGCGACACGTAGCAGCAGAACAACATTGAGATGATGTTCTCTGATGTGGTGTCACCATGGCTGAGGCAGGACAAAGAGAGAGGCTTCTTGTCTCTGCTGCGAGACGAGTTTGTGTCATGCCCAGACAGCACAGGTGGAAACCGATTCAAATTACGAGATAAAATCATTGAATATTGCTGAATTTAATCAGCTTTATGAGTAACTTTAGCCAGTTTCCAGTAAAACGGGTAATAGAGATCCAAAGAAACAAAAATACATTCTGATTGACATATCAACTTGTTAATATTTTTTTTTATATAAGATTAAGAATAACCACTATAGAAGAGAAACATTTTGTAGCAATAATACAAATTTTGGGCTAGTAGGTTCTCTTACTCAAGGCAGATGAGGCAGCAGTTTTGAGAAGATTCTTTTGCAACAACTGTATTATAGTGGATTAAGAAATGTTCACTGAAAATAAATTTTCACCTAACTGATTTTTTTTTGTTCATTAAAATATATAAATATAAATGGGTATTCTATTTTCAACAATATACACTTACTTGGAAATAAGTAATATAAGCAATACTGATGTTATATTTAGGTAGCCATAAATAGTTTAGGAATTAGAAAATGAAAACAATTGTTTAAGAGTTGGTAATGTCTAGTAAAGTAATTTTCCTAACTTTGTTGCTTTTTTCCCTTCCCTCACTACTCAAGCTAGAGTTAAGGGTTTCAGTGTATCAGTGTCTACATCTTCTGTTTAAAACAAATGTAAACACTGTGTTGCATAGAACTTGAAAAATTGCACTAATTTTTAAACTTTTGGTTTTATTTTTTCTTTGGAAAGAATTCTTTTATATTCACATAAAGATTAAAAAAAAAAAATTAATTCTTTGGTGTCTTTATTGCAAGTAATGTATTTAATGGTCCCTGGCTGATGTAAGCATCTGTATTTCTGGGCAACATATGAACTTGGGTCTTCATGTTGATATCGTTACACCATCTAAAATGGGAGATACGTGACATGTCTGTGTAATGAGCGTACATATGTTGTGTGGTAACAACAAATCAGGGTTGTGTTACCTTCCCCTCCTCTTTGCAGGTCATTCCTGCTTCTATTTCTGCTCCCTCTGCTGGGTCTGCTGACAGTCATCTGAGGGCTGGGCAAGTGACCTTGTGAAGTGAAAAGACTAAAACCCACCGTAAAACAGCTGTTGAGTGACTTCAGTGATCGACTATTGCTTTGGAAATCAGTCTGGATCGCTGCCTGCTCTCCTCGGCCCCACCTAAAAGGACGTAGAGAACAGGTACACACCTGTAAATCACCATGCTTGTTATTATTTGCCAAAAAACCCTGACTGCTCTCTTCAGGTCTTCCTTGCAGGTTATTTATATGCCCAGTCCTTAGTCTGGTTGACAGCTTTTATGTTCCCTGAGCTCTAAGCTCAACCCAGGTGTGAGGTTGGGAATGAGCCAGCAGCTGTTCAGCCCTCCAGAGTGAAGGTTAGCAGGAAGGAGGTGTCACAAGCAGGTTTTCTTCAGGGGCCTCGCTTCAGGCTTGTTTGTACTACAGGTTTTCCCTTTCTCTGAACCTTAATCCTTGTCCTGCCTATCCTGATGAGGGTAAGTAATGATATCTCTTGCTGTGGGCTGCTTGTTTGCTTACCAGTTTGGTTTAGTGATGATTTTTGTCCGTGTATGGTTGATGGTTGGACTAGATGATCTGAAAGGTCCCTTCCAGCCTAGACAATTCTATGATTCTGTCCCTCAATGTGTGGAAGGGCTTTTGGGCTGGCAGAGGCGCCCGGTGAGTGTGAATTAAGTGTATTCTAGGAGGCAACACTCGACAACTTCTATAACTACAAGTACAGATGTTTTATAGAAAGATCTGTCAGAGTGGAGAGCATTCTGAAGCTCCGTGTGGGTGTTCCACTCTTAATTGCTGTGGCACACCAGGACCTGGCCACAGGCTGTGATGGTTTTCCTGCTGATTTCTGTGTGCTGTCAGGGTAATTTGTTTTCATCAGTTCTGTAAGAATTACCTGTGCTGTTACTCTGCTGACCTCTCTGCTAAGAGAGAGCAATGCCACAGCGACACAGGTCGGCTGCCTCTGCCCAGGTGGGCTCCCTGCCCCCTGCCACCTCCTCATCCCAAAATGTGGGGCACGGCTGAAGGCTACAGACAGTGCTGGAAGTGGCCTGTGTTGGTTTTCACATTGCAGAATGCTTCTGGACACAAATATTTCAGTAAGGCTTTATTGATGCAGGAGAAAGAGATGTTATAGAGTGACATTTTTTAAAATGGATTACAAGTCAAGGATAACAAAATCAGAAAACATTGGCAATGAATACCTGCATTCCTGTTAAAAACCCAGGGCTGGTACTGTTCTTCCACAGTACCCAGCCACAGCCTGAACTCTGCAGTTCCTAAAGTGTTGCTCATTCTCCTGCCACGGTGGAGCGTGGCCCATCCCTCATTAAACCAGGAAAGCCCCAGGCCCCTCGTCCATTTCTGGTGCTGCATGGCAAGGCTGGAAGTGCCCTCCTAGGACAGATCCCAGGCTGATCACTTGTCTCGCGTGACACTGGGTGCAAGGTCCGCTTGTAAAAGAAGTGATTGTGCAATGGCTTTAAAAGAAACAAACAAAAGAACAACCAAACTGCCCAGCCCTCCCTGAAGCCGAGTGGTGGTTTTCCTTTGGAGCCTCCAACAGCTGGCGTTCAGCATCCTTGCCGAAGGATGTTCTTTCTCTGCAAGGATGGTGGCCAAGGCTTCCCTACCGGGGCACGGCGCAGATCTTGTAGGGCTGTGGGGCCATCGTGATGCCCAGCTTGAACTGGAGGTTGAGCGTGGTGTTTGGGGGTGGCCGGAAGGTGAACTTCTGGAGCAGAGACGTGAAGTAGAGGAAGAGCTCGGAGCGGGCCAGCAGCTCCCCCAGGCAGGAGCGCTTCCCTGTGGAGACAGCCACCCGTCACACCCCCAGCTCGTGCTTGCTGCCCGGCCTTGTTTGCTGCCAAAAAAAGCCTCTGCCTTCCCCTAAGACCCTGGTCCAGCTGTGTTACACCCTTTCCAGGATGCTCTGGTTTATTTAGAGTTTTTTGTTTGTTCATGGGTTTTTGTGGCACTTTTTTCCTTTTGAATTAGTTTCAAACACGCTGGTTTATGCAATAGTAAGAATAAGTGGGCTTTAAAGCCCCTTTGGGTCACTCAACATCTCTCAACCCAAACTCACACCTTCTCCCACCTTTCAAAAGATCCCACGTGCAAAGATCTTAAAACAATTGATGCTCTTCAATGTATTCTAGAAACTTTCTCCTGCTTGTTTATGTAACACAGACTTGGCTCCACTGTATTCAGAGCAGATGAGTTTAGCGTCTATAGTATGAGAGTCCGCAAGACCCCCACACCAACTGCATTTTAGTTGAAAAGCTCATGTTCTGTGTTATTTCTTCCCCCCTGCTTCCTTTATGGAACTTTAGCTCTTCGACTTTCTACTTTGCTTTTAAAAATCTCTAGTTTTATCATTAAATGCTGGTATAGGTAGAACAGTTTTAAAGGAAAAAGATGCTGGAATTGGTATCTGCGATGCAAAAAAAAATTATGAATGCAGGTACTTACAAAAAAAAATTAGGGTTTATTTGGTTTGACTTAGGTGTGTTAAGTATTCTTGGCTGATTTGTAAGAGCACTTTAACATTTCATGGTATCAAATACTGACATATATCTGAATTTTAACTCTTTCAGTCTAGCAACCTGAAGCAGAAGTTGGCAGCACACATGTAAGTAATGCACATGCGTCCATGCTAGCTTATTTATGCTAAATAATTTGACTGTTGTAGCACAGAAACTGTCTAAGTCTTTGTAGGTATGTCTTGTTTTTCTAAGACACTGAATTGACAATCAAACGTGTAGATAGTTAAGTATTAGTGTTCTAGGTTTGTCTACTCTAATCATCGTCATCTCGTAATACTAGTATCCATTTAACTTATCTCTTGATCACCAATAGCATTTTAACTGCTCCGATTCTATAACAAAGTGCTAAAACCATCACTGTTACTGCACTCAAAAATGCATTTCATTTTTCTGAAATATTTCCATCCTTTCAGCAGACGTAGTTCCTGCTAAGGACATTGTTGTTCATTTTCTTACTTGTGTCTAATTTTATGTAAATGGCACTCTATTAAAAAGTCACAACTTTTTATGGTTCTTCAAAAATACCTGCTAATACTTCTATTTAAACTCAAAAGAATTGCAAGAGTTTAAAACAGTTGTTTAAACACTTCCACAAGTGAGTTTTGGTTTTCAGCTCTTAAAACTGTGTGTGAAATTATTGGTGAACTCAATCCTTAGCCCAGACTTTCATTCACAGGGAAAAGCTGAATGAAGTTCATGATGAGTTACAGAAGAAAGAGGCTGATCTTGCAGAACTCCAGCCTGATGACAGTCAGAACCGTAAGCTGTTTTGAGTTGGGCTTTTTTAAGTTTCTTCTGAAATGATTCCGATAGCCACTGGGGGGAGGGTGTTTGGTGTTTTTGCTTTGTGGTGGGCAGGGAGAGGTTCATGGGGTCTTAATTTTGTTGAATAGTACTCTACAAAATGGAAACTCAGAATCAGGTGGGATCTTAGGATATAACTGAAATAAAAACAAGAACTGAGGTGATTGTGTAGTAGCTAGAAAGTTTATTTGGGGGTGATTAAATCAAGAGAACACAGAAGCCTTGATAGTACCATGCCTATTTTTATTTTTTCTATCTATTTCTGTAAACAGCCCAGAAGATTGGAGAGCTGGAAGCAGCTTTGCGGAAAAAAGATGAGGATATGAAAGCAATGGAAGAGAGATATAAAATGTACCTTGAGAAAGCAAGAAATGTAAGCAATATATTTCAGAACATACACATTCTTCCCTCGTAAATTGTTAAACAATGGATTTGAGTCCCCTACCTCCAGCTCCCAGCTAAAATCAGTAGCTATGTGTTGCATTTTTAGTCAGATTGCTCGACTGCAGTCAGTTAAGTATATGAGAGAAAGGGGTTTAGGCTACAGCATGAGATGCATTAAAGATTCCTTTGTATCCTTTGATATCTTCTGTTGTACAGTGGAGCAGCCTAGTTTTCATCATAATTGCCTGACTAATGCTCTGTCTGTTTTCATATTTCTCCTGTGAGCAAATGAGATGCGGAGCTGCTGAGAATCAAACCTGACTTGTAATGCTTTTGTTTTGCCTTGTACAGGTGATAAAAACCTTAGACCCCAAGCTAAATCCCGCATCAGCAGAAATTATGTTGCTCAGAAAACAGTTAATGGAGAAAGACAAAAAAATTGACGCACTAGAGGTAAAAATTTATATATATTTAATAATGACTTCTAATATATTGTGCGGTCTCCTGTATTAGAAGCTCAAGTTACTGTTTCCTAATGATCCACTACCCTTCAGTCTTCATTCAGTTAGAAACTGCACAGCCCATCAAACCCAGAGGTTTTTAGTTTGGTTTTTTTAACTTTGTATCCGTGTAGAAATCTGTCCCAACAGTTTACTTTTCAACAGTGTTTTTCAATGTACAACCGAAACTGTTTGGATTCTTTCTAAACCTTCTGGAAAGCTGTGAGATACGTAACACAGCAAAACTATTAGTCTTATGAAGTAACTTGCACAGAGCTGTGGAGTCTGATTTTTTCAATAGTAACGTAATTTAGTTTGTATGAGGGACTAGGTATTTTGAGCAGTGACTTGTTCAATCAAAAACCCACTTGATACCAGTGGGTTTATGTACTGGAGTTCTTGAAACTATATAGTAGAGTAAAACCTTTGACTTTCAGGTAAAAAAAATTACTAAATTATTTCTAAACTATCTGATACATCCTGGAGTTTCATACATTTCCCCTCTGTACACCCTCAAAGTATGTTTCTAAGCTGAACTGCAATTTTTGTGAAGTATATTCTCGTCCTAAAGTAGTCTATAAGTTCTCTCATAGTCATTTATGGAACTCTCTTTGTTTACACTTCTTAGACTTCTAGTTATTTTGCATATTTCAGCATTTCTGCTGCATGTGTTTATTTCACTCACCAGAGTGTAAGTTTACGCAGATTATTTTTGTGTTTTAATTGTGTTTTAATTGAGATTTGTCTTCTCTGTTGTCTGTTTGCAGGCTGAATTCAAGCTTGCTAAGTTACGTGATTATGAGGAAAAGCTAATTGTAACTGCATGGTATAACAAGGTGGGTCAAAAGTTTGTTGGTATCTCAGGAATCGGAAAAATACATTTTGCTAAATGAGATGGTTAAATATTTTTATTTCCTTTTTAGATTCACTATGCACTGGTGCTTAGGAGAGAAAACTAATAGTTTAGCTACTTGTGGTGGAAAAAATGAACTTGCGTGGCCTCATGTCTGAAACCAGGTAGCTACTTGTGGTGGAAAAAATGAACTTGCAGATTAGCGTGGCCTCATGTCTGAAACCAGAGAACTAAGGAAAGGAGCAAAGCCTGAGGGCTCCAGTTCAAAATGAGATCACTCTTCCACTTGCTAATTTTGACTTCAAGCCTGAATGCAAACTTGAGTGAGATCTATCTGGAATTTCCAATCCTATTGAGATAATGTCAAGGCTGGTATTTCCCAAGTTTTTGATAGCAGCCTAAAGGGAAAATACCTTAATAGCCAACTATTTTGTGAAATTATTTTGCTCTGTTTTCTGCATGTCTTCTGTGCTTTGGAACAGGAGAGTTAAATTTGGCGTAGGCCTTGACTTCCATGTTAGTAATCTACTGTTTGCTGCCACAAGCTTCCATCTGGATTTAGTGAGCTAAATTCCTGGATGTTCAATAGCATTCAGCTTGAGACAAAGGGAGACCATGGTTCAAAGCTTTCCAGGCTTCTGCTTTAAGATGTTCAGTGCCTTTAGCACAGTATTTGTGAAATAAAGCAAGAGCCATCCTCTCATCCTGCCGCAGTGTTGCAGAGGTTGATAGAAAGTTTGACATTGGATTGCTGTGGAAAGGACTGGAGAAGCTGTTCATCTTTGTATGAAGCGATGTTTAAATAGTTTAATAAAGAAACACTGGACTGGGGAGCTGCCACAAGCTTCCATCTGGATTTAGTGGGCTAAATTCCTGGATGTTCAATAGAATTTAGCTTGAGACAAAGGGAGACCGTGGTTCAAAGCTTCCCAGGCTTCTGCTCTAAGATGTTCAGTGCCTTTAGCACAGTATTTGTGAAATAAAGCAAGAGCCATCCTCTCGTCCTGCCACAGTGTTGCAGAGGTTGATAGAAAGTTTGACATTGGATTGCTGTGGAAAGGACTGGAGAAGCTGTTCATCTTTGTATGAAGCGATGTTTAAATAGTTTAATAAAGAAACACTGGACTGGGGAATCAAAAAAGGAAGGGAAAAATGAAGTGGCTTACTTAATAAAGGAATAACTTTACAATAAGCTAAAATTAACAGATTCTACATGAACATGAATGAATCTTATTTTCTTCAGCCTTGGTTCATAGCTCTTATGGCAGTAAGAGCTGGAACTACAGTAAAAGAAATTATGTGTGCAAACTAAGTAAGTGGGAGGTTTGTGTCTGAAAGATGGCAGATTTCTTTCTTCTGTTTTTGCTATATTGTAAATGTTGTTTAACTTATTTGCAGAGCATGACTCTTCAGAAGCTGGGTATGGAATCAAGATTAGTTGGCAGTAGTGGTACCTACAGAGACGGCCCTGGACGCTCATTCCTAGCTCAACAACGTCACGTCACCAATACCAGAAGGAATCTCACTGTTAAAGTACAGGGTGCAACATCTGACTAAACCACAAGGACCATGAGGAAAACTTACATGCTAAAGTGTCCTTAAATGTTTTATAACTTCCACTTTACCTACTTGATAAAAGGGGAGGTTAGAATGGTGGGCAACTGCGAATTCAACATCAGAACCTATCAAGAAGTCATTAAGTTGATCAGTGGTGCGTCTAGAGGTAGCACATAGTTTTCCAAGTAGAAGCAGATTTAATAACTGCATTATGTATTTACAAGCACAACTTAAAAGATTTATATTTGCCTTCAGAATATATTGTAAATATAAAAATTGGCACTATATATTTAAAACTTTATTTAATGGGTTTGGGCTAGAAAGTTGACTTTTGTAATAGGAAGATGTTATGCAAAAATGTACTTCAGGAAACTGGCAATATGGGGCATTTTTGCTGGGCTCTTCTAAAAATAAATTTAAAAGATCGGTACCATGTTTTAATAAATACTTTTTTTTTTTTCTAGAATATGAAGTATAATTTTAAAAGCAAGAAAATACTTGCATTTATAGGAAAAAAAAAAAGGTAGTACCAGTTGACTTGTTACATAACAGAAGACAGGATTTGTTTTGTCATCTCAAGTGAGAAGCAGAATTACACAGTTTATTTAAAAAAAAAAAAGATTAAGTTTGTGAAAATATATATATATTAAGGAAAACCTGTCTTTAAGATGTTGAATTCACTAAAGCCAAATAAGCTGTCTTTTCCTGTGTAAGACAAAAAGCTATTATAGTAATTCAAAAGTCTGGGCTGTATTTTAAAAGTCTGGCATTTTGGTACGCTGCATTTATTTGCAGAAAGGGGCTCAGATGGGAAGGAACCCCATTTATTTCCAGCTATTTATACAACCTTTTGAATAGAAATTACTCTTCCTCTTTTTTTAAACGTGGTTTCACTTCAGTTGTTCTGAACTAACTATGGTAGGCAGATGAATGAAAGAGATTTGCTAGTGGTTGGCAGAAAAGATTGTTTGTTGGCAGGGAGAAAAGTGCAAAACTGTATTACAGTTTTGCAGTATCTAGATTGAAGAGGATGAAATGGGGTTTGATATCTGAAATTTGTGTGGGGGAAGTTGCTGTCTTTCACAAAACTTGTGTCACTATTTACTAAATGTCTTATTTTTATTGTGAACTGTGTTTTTTAGGAAAATTCTTTGCAAATTGTCTAGAACAAATCAATTATACCCGTAGTTAAATAAAATAAAATTACAGCAGCCCTTAAAATGTAATGAATACACTTAAACTAAGGATTTGAGGGTGCTATACCAGTCTGTGATCTAATATAAAGCTCAACCATATGTGTGATAGGAAGCATATGTCTGTCTTAGCCATTAATGCTGTCTTTGGTTTGAGAGTGGGGTTCAGCTTTGCAGAATTTCAGTTTCAAATTGTGAAATTTGAGTAGTCTTCCATTTTGCATGCCCCTCAGTATGGCTACTGCTTCAGTTTCTTCCTTCCCCGGCTTCTTAAGTTCTTTATTGGGCATTGCATGCAATGCTAGAGAAAAGGGAAGTATTCATTTTTAATACTTAGTCAACGTTGCTTCTCTAGTTGTGGTGATAGTTTTAGTGCTGTACATTCAACAGAGATTTCCTCTTTCAAAACTTGTGTCTACACAAGTTTTGTTTAAACTTTTGTTTAAAAGCCAGTCTCATGCTAAGTGTGGCATGAGCAGAGAACATGCCAGACAGACTGCTGTTGCACAGTTGTGTCTGCCGGGTTGCGTTCTTCAGGACTCTATGCTTCCTTGGACTACCTCTTGGGTTTTGAGGTCTTTTATTGCTGCAGTGATATTATTGGGGTTTGTATTTCTAAGGTACAGTTGCTTGTTGAATCTGTTATGGCGTGGGAGATAGTGGTGAGCAGTGGAACAGGGGACTTAAGTCTTATCAAGACGCTTATGTTTCTAAAGCCTGGTACTTTGGTGTGTTTTAGTGAAATGTGAAACTGTCACTGATGGTGTTGAGTGGGTCTCTTAACCCTCATTCTTTACAGCATGGAAACTTTCATGGACGTCTTTCAGATACTCATCTAGCTAGTAGGCTTTGATGCATTTGTGTTACTTCTCACAGTAGTAGAGCTGTGTCAATAGTCATATCAGGTGCTGAATAGTGAAAAGCTTGGAGCAAATGTCTTTGATGTACACTTCTCAAAACTGCAGACCCTGGGACCAAAAATGACCAAGAACCTCCATATCATTTAATTGGAAGCTGGTCTTCTCACTAGCAATGGAAGAATTTAAATATGGAACTAGAGACAAGGATCAGCCTTTTTCAAGGCAAGGTGGTCCCCAGTAGTCTTACTGGGGTTGCCAAAAATGAATCAGGTTTTCAGATATTGGATGAAATTTCAATATTTGGCACTTTTCCAAACTATTAAAAGTTAAGCCTGTGAATATAATTTAAGTGTTTCTTTGGGATTGAAAACCTGTTTAAGAGTGGCTTTTCTATAGCTGGTTAAGCTTGGGTTAGGTCCTATGAATGAGGAACTGATCTGTAGAAATAAATATTTAATTATAATCACGGTGTTGTATTTGCTTCAGCTCATCTGGCTGTGCAGAAAGGATCATTAAAATAAGTATCATTTTAATGTTAACTTCATTCATGTCAAAAAAAAAGACGCCACTAATAGTTTTGCTGTGTTACAGTGGAGTTGTGTGCGACACGTAGCAGCAGAACAACATTGAGATGATGTTCTCTGATGTGGTGGCACCATGGCTGAGGCAGGACAAAGAGAGAGGCTTCTTGTCTCTGCTGCGAGACGAGTTTGTGTCATGCCCAGACAGCACAGGTGGAAACCGATTCAAATTACGAGATAAAATCATTGAATATTGCTGAATTTAATCAGCTTTATGAGTAACTTTAGCCAGTTTCCAGTAAAACGGGTAATAGAGATCCAAAGAAACAAAAATACATTCTGATTGACATATCAACTTGTTAATATTTTTTTTTATATAAGATTAAGAATAACCACTATAGAAGGGAAACATTTTGTAGCAATAATACAAATTTTGGGCTAGTAGGTTCTCTTACTCAAGGCAGATGAGGCAGCAGTTTTGAGAAGATTCTTTTGCAACAACTGTATTATAGTGGATTAAGAAATGTTCACTGAAAATAAATTTTCACCTAACTGATTTTTTTTTGTTCATTAAAATATATAAATATAAATGGGTATTCTATTTTCAACAATATACACTTACTTGGAAATAAGTAATATAAGCAATACTGATGTTATATTTAGGTAGCCATAAATAGTTTAGGAATTAGAAAATGAAAACAATTGTTTAAGAGTTGGTAATGTCTAGTAAAGTAATTTTCCTAACTTTGTTGCTTTTTTCCCTTCCCTCACTACTCAAGCTAGAGTTAAGGGTTTCAGTGTATCAGTGTCTACATCTTCTGTTTAAAACAAATGTAAACACTGTGTTGCATAGAACTTGAAAAATTGCACTAATTTTTAAACTTTTGGTTTTATTTTTTCTTTGGAAAGAATTCTTTTATATTCACATAAAGATTAAAAAAAAAAATTAATTCTTTGGTGTCTTTATTGCAAGTAATGTATTTAATGGTCCCTGGCTGATGTAAGCATCTGTATTTCTGGGCAACATATGAACTTGGGTCTTCATGTTGATATCGTTACACCATCTAAAATGGGAGATACGTGACATGTCTGTGTAATGAGCGTACATATGTTGTGTGGTAACAACAAATCAGGGTTGTGTTACCTTCCCCTCCTCTTTGCAGGTCATTCCTGCTTCTATTTCTGCTCCCACCCGGAGCTGGTGTCCTCTGCTGGGTCTGCTGACAGTCATCTGAGGGCTGGGCAAGTGACCTTGTGAAGTGAAAAGACTAAAACCCACCGTAAAACAGCTGTTGAGTGACTTCAGTGATCGACTATTGCTTTGGAAATCAGTCTGGATCGCTGCCTGCTCTCCTCGGCCCCACCTAAAAGGACGTAGAGAACAGGTACACACCTGTAAATCACCATGCTTGTTATTATTTGCCAAAAAACCCTGACTGCTCTCTTCAGGTCTTCCTTGCAGGTTATTTATATGCCCAGTCCTTAGTCTGGTTGACAGCTTTTATGTTCCCTGAGCTCTAAGCTCAACCCAGGTGTGAGGTTGGGAATGAGCCAGCAGCTGTTCAGCCCTCCAGAGTGAAGGTTAGCAGGAAGGAGGTGTCACAAGCAGGTTTTCTTCAGGGGCCTCGCTTCAGGCTTGTTTGTACTATAGGTTTTCCCTTTCTCTGAACCTTAATCCTTGTCCTGGCTATCCTGATGAGGGTAAGTAATGATATCTCTTGCTGTGGGCTGCTTGTTTGCTTACTGATCTGGTTTAGTGACGATTTTTGTCCGTGTATGGTTGATGGTTGGACTAGATGATCTGAAAGGTCCCTTCCAACCTAGACAATTCTATGATTCTGTCCCTCAATGCGTGGAAGGGCTTTTGGGCTGGCAGAGGCATTACGATGAGTGTGAATTGAGCGTATTCCAGGAGGCAAGACTTGACAACTTCTATAACTACAAGTACAGATGTTTTATAGAAAGATCTGTCAGAGTGGAGAGCATTCCTATGCTCCGTGTGGGTGTTCCACTCTCAATTGCTGTGGCACACCAGGACCTGGCCACAGGCTGTGATGGTTTTCCTGCTGATTTCTGTGTGCTGTCAGGGTAATTTGTTTTCATCAGTTCTGTAAGAATTACCTGTGCTGTTACTCTGCTGACCTCTCTGCTAAGAGAGAGCAATGCCACAGCGACACAGGTCGGCTGCCTCTGCCCAGGTGGGCTCCCTGCCCCCTGCCACCTCCTCATCCCAAAATGTGGGGCACGGCTGAAGGCTACAGCCAGTGCTGGAAGTGGCCTGTGTTGGTTTTCACATTGCAGAATGCTTCTGGACACAAATATTTCAGTAAGGCTTTATTGATGCAGGAGAAAGAGATGTTATAGAGTGACATTTTTTAAAATGGATTACAAGTCAAGGATAACAAAATCAGAAAACATTGGCAATGAATACCTGCATTCCTGTTAAAAACCCAGGGCTGGTACTGTTCTTCCACAGTACCCAGCCACAGCCTGAACTCTGCAGTTCCTAAAGTGTTGCTCATTCTCCTGCCACGGTGGAGCGTGGCCCATCCCTCATTAAACCAGGAAAGCCCCAGGCCCCTCGTCCATTTCTGGTGCTGCATGGCAAGGCTGGAAGTGCCCTCCTAGGACAGATCCCAGGCTGATCACTTGTCTCACGTGACACTGGGTGCAAGGTCCGCTTGTAAAAGAAGTGATTGTGCAATGGCTTTAAAAGAAACAAACAAAAGAACAACCAAACTGCCCAGCCCTCCCTGGAGCCGAGTGGTGGTTTTCCTTTGGAGCCTCCAACAGCTGGCGTTCAGCATCCTTGCTGAAGGATGTTCTTTCTCTGCAAGGATGGTGGCCAAGGCTTCCCTACCGGGGCACGGCGCAGATCTTGTAGGGCTGTGGGGCCATCGTGATGCCCAGCTTGAACTGGAGGCTGAGCGTGGTGTTTGGGGGTGGCCGGAAGGTGAACTTCTGGAGCAGAGACGTGAAGTAGAGGAAGAGCTCGGAGCGGGCCAGCAGCTCCCCCAGGCAGGAGCGCTTCCCTGTGGAGACAGCCACCCGTCACACCCCCAGCTCGTGCTTGCTGCCCGGCCTTGTTTGCTGCCAAAAAAAGCCTCTGCCTTCCCCTAAGACCCTGGTCCAGCTGTGTTACACCCTTTCCAGGATGAATTCTGCCACCCAAACTGAACTCCCCAATAACAACATTGGGGTTACAGCGTGGGCTGCCCCCTGAATTCCTGACTTTGTGAGGGCACAGGTGGAACCGTATGCGCAGGCATCGCATCCTTCCCTGCTTGGGGAAGCTGGGCAGACACACAGGGTCTGGGTGTGCCCATGCTGGGAGAGGTGGTTTCTTTGAGCTACACCAAGGGGAGATGCCAGAGGAGGTGAGTGATGCTGGTGCAGGACACAGGGGTGCTAAAAGCCCCTCTCTCTGGGGAGCTGTGGGCTAGGGTACCCTGTGGTGGAAGAGAAACCCTTAGTGACCTCAGCCATGTGGGAGTAGGAGCACAGAGCGATGCTGTTGCCTTGGTGGAGGTGTTTCTAGGGTCTCTGATGTTGCTATGGTCTTTTTTTCATCCTCATCTCTCTTCAGTGCACGTGAAGAGAGACAAGAGAGAGTTTGGAGTGTGGTTGTGGTGCTTTGGGGTGAGCACTTGAGCAGCACCCACAGGGACGCAGCCAACATCTGCCCTTCCCCTCGCTATTTTCGTCTGCATCTCCACTGTGCAGTTGGAAGCCCCATCCCAGTGCCTCAGCAAATCTTACCTATAGAAAATGGTATAAAATAGTCCCTTCTCCAGAACTGGCCATCCTTCAGGAAATGCCCAGGGTTGAATGTGTTAGGGGCTTCCCACTCATTCTTGTCAAACAGCACAGAGGCTAAATTTGTGATCAAAACAGTGCCCTAAGGGGGGAGAAAAAGAAAAATAAATCTCACTTTCTCTGTCATTGGTAGCAGGAGTGTCTCTGCCCCTTCTGTCTCCAGAGGAGGAGACCTTGCCTGGTGAATTGTGCCCGTGATTCTCTTGCTGAAGTCTCAGTGCTCAGGTCTAAGGTTACCTTTGGTATCAGGAAGCCGTCCACCATTGTGTCCTTCACCGTCAGTCGTGGCACGTTGAAAGGGATGATGTTGCTTTTCCTCTGCACTTCGTGGATGACGGCGTTGGTGTAGGGCAGGTTCTTCCTGTCCTCCAGGGATGGCTGCCGCGCCTGCCCGATGACCGCGTCGATCTCAGCTTGTACCCGGGCTGGTGGGAAAAAGCAGGGATCAGCCAAGGTCCAAGACAAAAACCTTTGGAACAACTCGGGGTGGTTGCTGGAAGGGTCCCTCAAGAACCGTCTGGGGACACCTGCCACTGTTTGCACCTGGTTTTGGTGAGCCCAGGGAGTTTCCCACTTTTCCTCTCAAAAAACCCCAGTCCCTCACAAAGCTGTGTGGGCTAAAAGCAAGGAGAAGCACGGAGCTTTTGTTAATCATACCTTGAATTTCCGGGTACATGGCCATGTACAGCAGAGCCCAGCGGACGGTTGTGGAAGTGGTCTCGGTCCCAGCAAAGAGCAGGTCAAGAGCGCACGCCACGAGATTTTCCTCCTGGAAGCTGCCATCGTCGTTGGCCTTCACAAAAAGGTGTGTTAGTGCTGCATGAACAGCGAGGGCTGCCCTGACACCAGGCTTAATCCCAGCCAACACCAAGGATTTTGGCAGAAGCTCTGACCCTAACCCTGCACCTCCATCCTCTTAATGGGTGCCCCAAACATAATGGGTGTCCATCCTAAGCTCATAAATGGCCACAGAGGTAGCTCAGATGGAGAATTTGGGCTTGTTACTTGTCCCATCTGATTGCTAAGCCCCACTATGGAGGGGTTTCTTGGTGTTGCTGACCTTGGCAATCTCCTGCAGGTAGCTGTCAATGAAGTCCCGGCTCTCGGAGGGGTTCCAGTCTTCCTTGTGTTTGTCAATCCTCTCTTTCACAAAAGTATTCAACTTCTTCCAGTTTTTAAAAATGGTTTGGTGGGATCCAGGCAAGAACTTCATGATGGTGGGGAAAGAGTTGTACAGCTTAGGACACAAAAGGAGAAAGGCAGATTGAATAAAGGACTGCAAAAAGACCTTCTGTTAGCAAACCTTGAGGAGCCTGCAATGCCACGCTTACTGGAAATAGCTCATCTTCAGAGGACCATTAAAAAAACTGATATTCCTATTCCGGAGCACTCGGGCTTTACCCGGTGTTGGAACAGGCAGCTTGTCGGTCAACAGACAGAAAGGTGATGTTGGGTGGGGAGGAGCAACATGAGCATTGCACAGCTTGAAAATAAGGCAGAAACATTAGAGCAAAATCTGCCCTGGGCAAAGGAATAGGGAACGAGAGTGAAGTTTGGTGATGAAAGCGCTATGAGTTTGGAGGTTGCAGTGCCAGAGCCTCTCCTCTGGAGTCAAAGCTGCACAGCATCCGTGTTGGTGGGAGGGGGACTGTACCTGGCTCGCGATGGATCCGTGGAGGGTAACTGTCTCATCCATCAGCTGCAGCAATTTTTGGAAGTCCTGATCGTGGTATTCAAACCGGTTGCCAAAGGTGACAGAGCAGATGATGTTTGAAACGGCGTTATTGACTTTGAAGTGAGGGTCAAAAGGATTCCCTGGAGAAGGAAAAGGGAACAAGGAATTCTCTTCCAGCCTTCCCAGAAAAGGAGAAACAACTGAAACCAGGTTCTCAGAGGTAAAACATTCCACAAATACGAGTGAAATGATGGGCACCCTTGTGTGTCACTGCTCTCTTGGGATACCTCCCCCCCAACCATGAGCTGGCCAAGCTTGGCTGGGCAGCCCCAGCCTGGAGCAAACATCCCACCCTCGGCCCCAGTTCAATCAGATTATGGAGATGTTTGTTTACTTTGGAAAGCAAGGTCTGCAGAAGAGCAGGCGTCATTGGAATTCATTGGAAACATCGGTGCTTACACACGGCATGGGATTTTCCAGAGATCTCCAAGAGAGCAGGGGGTTGAAGGTGGGTTATGAGTGACACTGTAGATGTTGCCTAGCTGCCTTCACCATTGAGGTTGAGGGCAAAGCAGCTGTAAAAGGGAGCTGGGATGCTGGCAGGGTGCTAGCATTGCTTGCAAGGTGAGGTGTCTTTCAGCATGCACTGCATCCTGGGTGAAATTATCATGGGACATACTGGTTCCTGACTTTAGCACAGCTTATGAGGCCCATGGCACTCACCCTGCTCTTCCCCAAAGGCATCCACAAGGAATCGGCACTCCTCCTGGATGCGCTCCTCCAGGCTCCTCTTCCCCAAGCCGAAATTGCGGAGGGTGGTCAAGGTGAACCTTCTCTGCTGCTTCCACAAGTGCCCATTGGAGGAGATAAGTCCTGGCGGACACAAGCCATGATGAGCCAAGGCAGATCCCTCCACATCTGGAAAAAGCTCCAGAGCTTTATCTTATTTCCAGCTGTCTTGGATCTCTGCAGGGTCAACGCTTTGACCTCGCAGCTGAGATGCTTGTTCTGAGGGAAAACTCACCCATCTTGCTGAAGACCTCTGCATCGATAGGAATTTCAGGGCGATCAATGAAATTTTCCCCTTGGTTTACAAGAGCTTCCTTGATGAGCCGCATCCCGTTTAGGCACACGAAGGCTGTGCTGCCCATATCTATACTGAAGACGTCCCCATACTTTTCAGCAAGCTGGGAGGAGGGGCGAAATAAATACAAAGGATTTCATTTGCAATGGAAGTGTCTGTTGGGATTGGGACAGCCCTGGCATGGACCAGGGCTGAAAATAAAGGGAAGTTGAGAGAGGGAGAGGAGGCGGGGTGCTTGCGTAAGTGTCTCACAGATCAGGACTTGGTGTTAATTGGCCATAAATAGAGTAAAACTCTCCAGGTTTGATTTTTCAGTCCAGCATTTGTTTTGCCCTATTCCCAAACAGCTTTCCAGTCCCTGGTCAGACCCATGGAGCTCCTAGAGGTGTGACTGCAGCTGTGGTGTCAGGCCCTGCCCTTTGCCCGAGGGATCACACCACACCTCCTACCTGGGCAAACTTCATCCACTTTGAGTCAACCATGGACAAAGCCACTGACTACCCTGGGGGTGAGCTCCACCAAGTCCTCATGAGCCATGGGGTTTGGGTTAACCCCATGCACTGCATGATGTTGCATAGCTGCCATTCCCTCTGTCCCCTTCCCCGTGGTGCCCACCACCTTTTACCTTATCCACCATGCCTTGGGGATTGCTGAAGTTCATCATGTAGACGTGCCCCAGGAAGGGGATGCGGAAGGGGCTGGGAGGGAAGTTCTTTGGCTTTCTGTGCTTCATGTAGTCGGCAACAAGCAGGAAGACGACGAGGAAGACGAGGAGCATCTGGAAGGAGATGCTGTCCCAGAGGAAGCGCAGCATGGCTGGATGGTGGGGCTCTGCGGGGACGTGTCCCACAGCAGGTCAGAGCAGGTGGAGCTCACGATGCACCACCGGACCTCCCAGGTTCAGGGCGAGAGGGACAACGTGCTGGTGCAGCTGTGGACATAAGCAAGACAGCGTGGAGAGGCTCTTACTGTCCTGGCCTGGAGGCTGTTTTCATACTCCTGCTTTCCCAGGTTTCAGTGAGGATGGTTTGATTAAACCCCTTGCTGATTAAGCTCATGCATTTCCTCTGATCTCATTCACAAAAAAAACAAACACAAAACAAAACGCCCCCCCCCTTTCTCCTCCTCCTTCCTGCCACTGCTCTGCAAATCCCCGGTGATCTGTGTCCGTGTCTAAAGGACAGAAAGGAGCTTTGCAGAGCTGGCATTAAAACCTCCCGGCAGCCTCCCCGTGCCCTTCCCGTTGTCAGCCCCGCTCCCTCCTCCCTGTGGTGCCCTCACCGTGCCGTGTCCCACCGTCGGCTCCTGGGTGCCGGGGAGGCTCCGGCTGCTCCCAACGCCTCGCGTTTTCCTCGTTTGCAGAAGCTCGTTTGCCGGTACGAAGAATCCTGGACTGGAACCCCGGGGCAGCAGGGACATCCGAGATAAGGTTACATAAACCTTTCACCAACCATCTGACTCAGGGGTTGGTGTTTCAGCGCGTCAGGCTGATGTGGGCTGGACGCAAACAGCCTTCCAGGATCTGTAGCGGTTTCTAGGCTCTCTCGGTTCCTGATCTCAGACAAGTGCAAGCAGAGCAACCTGCTGGGGCCACCATGCTGTCCCTGCCCCGAGCCCTCCTGCCATTCCTTCCCTCCTTTGAGTCCATACCCTGCGCTGAAGCCTGAAGAAGCTCAGGGAGGTGCTGAGAAGCCAAAGCAGATGCCCAGCTCCTCAGGCTGTGCCCCTTCAGTGGCATCTGGTAACAGGCTGTGACATGTTTTCCCATCTAAGTGTGGCTCTGAGACAGATAGTTGGCCATGCACGTACACCACGTTTATTTTTGACAAATACGTTGTGTTTTATTGTGAAAGAAGCAGGGACATTCCCAGCAGCAGCTTCTTGTTGCACCATGCAGCTCTGCCGTGGCCGTTTGCAGTCACCAGCTCCCACCTCCGGCTCTGGGATACGATTTGGGTTTATTTATTCTCTTTTGGAGCCTTTGGAGTTGTCCACGGCCAAAACCAAGGCAAGAGGTGCAACAGTGCTGCTGGAGCAATGCCCTACACGTGAGAGTAAGCTGCTGTATAACTGTTACACTTAACTTCAGCGGCCCCGCTTCAGACTTGTTTTTACTACAGGTTTTCCCTTTCTCTGAAGCTTCATCCTTGTCCTGGTATCCTGATGAGGGTAAGTAATGATTTTTCTTGCTGTGGGCTGCTGCCCCTCTGAGGGTGGGGAGCTGCATCATGTTTGCTTAGCGATCTGGTTTAGTAATGATTTTTGTCAGCTTATGGTTGATGGTTGGACTAGATGATCTGAAAGGTCCCTTCCAACCTAGACAATTCTATGATTCTATATCTCAGTGCGTGGAAGGGCTTTTGGGCTGGCAGAGGTGTCCTGGTGAGCGTGAAGGGAATGGCCAGGTAGGGAAGAACCATTTCTCCTTCTCTCTGAGGCTGGATGTAAAAGCATTTTCAGACCCTAAGGAACAAAACCCGCAGGTGTGTGGGAGGGAGAATAGAAGGGAAGAGGCTCTTGGCTGCGCAGGAAGCCTGAGCCGAGCTGCAGGATGTTCTTAGCTCCTGTGTGAGCTGTCACAGGACACACAGCGACAGCCACCGCCACCTTCCTGAGTGCAGGAGGAGCAAGCGAGGGGGGGTGTGTGCAGGAAAGGAACTGGGACTCGGCTAAGGAGTGGGGAAAAAACAAAAGTCAGGTGACACCTGCAAACTGGAAGTGCTTTGGGAGCAATGCTGTGCACAACAGAAACTGGTTGCTTCCCCACTCTCCAGTTTCCAGTCGATGCCAGGCACGCAGCCCACTTCAGCCTTCCGCTTCCGCTACCCCCAAGGAAGGAAAAGAAAGAACATCAGGTCTAGAAAGTCAAACCAACTTCCTTGTTTCTGCTGCGAAGGGAAAATGTGGGAGCCCCTTGCCAGGAGCAGGCAGAGAGGTGATGTGCTGGGGTTGGGGGTGTCTGGTCCCACTTGAAGTGAGAACCTGATCAAGTCTTCTGCATCTTATAAATGGGTTGGTTTGGTTCCTACCATGTGTTCTCATGTCTCCCCCTTATGGTCATGTAAATCAGGAGCCTCAAGTGCCAGAAACAGCATCTCCTGTGTTCACCTGGCTGTGGCTGGCACCGCAAAATTAGAGGAAGGGGCAGAGTCTCCCCACCAAAGCCTGTGCTTGAAGCTTTGCCAGAAGCTGCTATAATTTTTGTTTCATGTTGTATGTCTGTGCTTGGCCCCACTGTGCAGCTGGAGGTGTTTCTACCCTTTTCTGGGCAGGTCTGCAGGGCCAGCCCAGCCTTCTATGCTGCCTCCCCTCTGCACTCAGAGGAGAAGAAAATTTGGGTTAAAATAAAAGGATTTTAAACCCACCTAGGCATTAATGCTGCATGGAGAAAAGATGCTTTTAATTCCTTCAGGAGGTGATGTAATTCTCAGAAGAGATGCTGGGAAGAACTTGCTTCCTCCAGGAACACGCAGAAAGTACTCCAGGAAAAATTGAAAATGAACAGGAGAAGATTGCTTTCTCCTGGCTTCCTCCCCAGGTGAGCTGGAGCTGGAGGTGTGTGTGTGATCAGAGCTGTGCTGTGCCACATCTGCCTGTCAGCTGGGGATCTCCTGGGACCTGCAGATTCTCAGAGCAGAGAGCCTCGCCAGAGATCCCGTGGTGCAACAGTTGGTGAGTTTATGGATTTACTGGTGTTAGCTGTCAGTTGCCAACCTCAGAACTGCTTCAACTTCCATGTGATGGTTTAAAATCATAGGAATTGGGTGCTGGTATTTTCCAAGGGACCCTTTTGATTCTTTAGACTGTTGAGTGCAGCAGGCTTAGCTGTGAATTTCTGGAGCTGGGTGATACTGGGTGATACTAAATGGGGAGAATTTAGCGTATTCCAGGAGGCAAGACTTGACAACTTCTGTAACTACAAGTACAGATGTTTTATAGAAAGATCTGTCAGAGTGGAGAGTGTTCCCATGCTCCGTGTGGGTGTTCCACTCTTAATTGCTGTGGCACACCAGGACCTGGCCACAGGCTGTGATGGTTTCCTGCCCCCTGCCACCTCCTCATCCCAAAATGTGGGGCTGAAGGCTACAGCCAGTGCTGGAAGTGGCCTGTGGTGGTCTTCACATTGCAGAATGCTTCAGGAGACAAATATTTCAGTAAGGCTTTATTGATGCAGGAGAAAGAGATGTTATAGAGTGACATTTTTTAACATGGATTACAAGTCAAGGATAACAAAATGAGAAAATGTTGGCAATGAATACCTGCATTCCTGTTAAAAACCCAGGGCTGGTACTGTTCTTCCACAGTACCCAGCCACAGCCTGAACTCGGCAATTCCTAAAGTGTTGCTCATTCTCCTGCCACGGTGGAGCGTGGCCCATCCCTCATTAAAGCCCCAGGCCCCTCGTCCATTTCTGGTGCTGCATCACAAGGCTGGAAGTGCCCTCCTAGGACAGATCCCAGGCTGATCACTTGTCTCACGTGACACTGGGTGCAAGGTCCGCTTGTAAAAGAAGTGATTGTGCAATGGCTTTAAAAGAAACAAACAAAAGAACAACCAAACTGCCCAGCCCTCCCTGGAGCCGAGTGGTGGTTTTCCTTTGGAGCCTCCAACAGCTGGCGTTCAGCATCCTTGCTGAAGGATGTTCTTTCTCTGCAAGGATGGTGGCCAAGGCTTCCCTACCGGGGCACGGCGCAGATCTTGTAGGGCTGTGGGGCCATCGTGATGCCCAGCTTGAACTGGAGGCTGAGCGTGGTGTTTGGGGGTGGCCGGAAGGTGAACTTCTGGAGCAGAGACGTGAAGTAGAGGAAGAGCTCGGAGCGGGCCAGCAGCTCCCCCAGGCAGGAGCGCTTCCCTGTGGAGACAGCCACCCGTCACACCCCCAGCTCGTGCTTGCTGCCTGGCCTCTTTTGAGCCAAAAAAAGCCTCTGGCATTGGGGTTACAGCGTGGGCTGCCCCCTGAATTCCTGACTTTGTGAGGGCACAGGTGGAACCGTATGCGCAGGCATCGCATCCTTCCCTGCTTGGGGAAGCTGGGCAGACACACAGGGTCTGGGTGTGCCCATGCTGGGAGAGGTGGTTTCTTTGAGCTACACCAAGGGGAGATGCCAGAGGAGGTGAGTGATGCTGGTGCAGGACACAGGGGTGCTAAAAGCCCCTCTCTCTGGGGAGCTGTGGGCTAGGGTACCCTGTGGTGGAAGAGAAACCCTTAGTGACCTCAGCCATGTGGGAGTAGGAGCACAGAGTGATGCTCTTGCCTTGGTGGAGGTGTTTCTAGGGTCTCTGATGTTGTTATGGTCTTTTTTTCATCCTCATCTCTCTTCAGTGCATGTGAAGAGAGACAAGAGAGAGTTTGGAGTGTGGTTGTGGTGTTTTGGGGTGAGCACTTGAGCAGCACCCGCAGGAGCGCAGCCAACATCTGCCCTTCCCCTCACTGTTTTCATCTGCATCTCCACTGTGCAGTTGGAAGCCCCATCCCAGTGCCTCAGCAAAACTTACCTATAGAAAATGGTATAAAATAGTCCCTTCTCCAGAACTGGCCATCCTTCAGGAAATGCCCAGGGTTGAAAGTGTCGGGGGCTTCCCACTCGTTCTTGTCAAACAGCACAGAGGCTAAATTTGTGATCAAAACAGTGCCCTAAGGGGGGAGAAAAAGAAAAATAAATCTCACTTTCTCTGTCATTGGTAGCAGGAGGGGCATTTTTATCTTCCACTTTCCTCTCCACAGAGAAGATCCAGAGTTAAAATTTTTCTGCAATTATTTGTGCAACGCTCCCTGGCACGGCCAGTTTTTCCTGCTTCTGGTCTGTTTGGAGGTGCAATGTTTATATACCCACCCTTTTCCCTCATCAGCATCATTTTTATCTGTTCTAATGCTGGGCCAAAGTTCCTGTAAAAGCTGTGTGAGATGGGATCTGTGCCTTGATGGTGTGTGGCCCTGCAGTGCTCTGCACCACTCAACGCGGTGGAGAACGTTGTTTGGATGGTAGACAGACGTGTTCAGTAGGAGTGAACTCTGGACAAGGCAGAGATGCTGTGTCTCTGCCCCTTCTGTCTCCAGAGGAGGAGACCTTGCCTGGTGAATTGTGCCCGGGATTCTCTTGCTGAGGTCTCAGTGCTCAGGTCTAAGGTTACCTTTGGTATCAGGAAGCCGTCCACCATTGTGTCCTTCACCGTCAGTCGTGGCACGTTGAAAGGGATGATGTTGCTTTTCCTCTGCACTTCGTGGATGACGGCGTTGGTGTAGGGCAGGTTCTTCCTGTCCTCCAGGGATGGCTGACGCGCCTGCCCGATGACCGCATCAATCTCGGCTTGTACCCGGGCTGGTGGGAAAAAGCAGGGATCAGCCAAGGTCCAAGACAAAAACCTTTGGAGCAACTCGGGGTGGTTGCTGTAAGGGTCCCCTGGGGACACCTGCCACTGTTTGCACCTGGTGTTGGTGAGTCCAAGGAATTTCCCAAATTTCCTCTCAAAAAAACCCCAGTCCCTCACAAAGCTGTGTGGGCTAAAAGCCAGGAGAAGCACGGAGCTTTTGTTAATCATACCTTGAATTTCCGGGTACATGGCCATGTACAGCAGAGCCCAGCGGACGGTTGTGGAAGTGGTCTCGGTCCCAGCAAAGAGCAGGTCAAGAGCGCACGCCACGAGATTTTCCTCCTGGAAGCTGCCATCGCCGTTGGCCTTCACAAAAAGGCAACACCAAGGATTTTGGCAGAAGCTCTGACCCTAACCCTGCACCTCCATCCTCTTAATGCGTGCCCCGAGACTGATGTCCATCCTAAGCTCATAAATGGCCACAGAGGTAGCTCAGATGGAGAATTTGGGCTCGTTTCTTGTCCCATCCCATCTGATTTCTAAGCCCCGCTATGGAAGGGTTTCTCGGTGTTGCTGACCTTGGCAATCTCCTGCAGGTAGCTGTCAATGAAGTCCCGGCTCTCCGAGGGGTTCAGGTCTTCCTTGTGTTTGTCGATCCTCTCTTTCACAAAAGCTTTCATCTTCTTCCAGTTTTTAAAAATAGTGTGGTGGGATCCAGGCAAGAACTTCATGATGGTGGGGAAAGAGTTGTACAGCTTAGGACACAAAAGGAGAAAGGCAGATTGAATAAAGGACTGCAAAAAGCAGATGTTGGGTGGGGAGGAGCAACATGAGCATTGCACAGCTTGAAAATAAGGCAGAAACATTAGAGCAAAATCTGCCCTGGGCAAAGGAATAGGGAACGAGAGTGAAGTCTGGTGATGAAAGTGCTATGAGTTTGGAGGTTGACTCCAGAGGAGAGGCTCTGGCACTGCAAAGCTGCATGGCATCCGTGTTGGTGGCAGGGGGCCTGTACCTGGCTCGCGATGGATCCATGGAGGGTAACTGTCTCGTCCATCAGCTGCAGCAATTTTTGGAAGTCCTGATCATGGTACTCAAACCGGTTGCCAAAGGTGACAGAGCAGATGATGTTTGAAACGGCGTTATTGACTTTGAAGTGAGGGTCAAAAGGATTCCCTGGAGAAGGAAAAGGGAACAAGGAATTCTCTTCCAGCCTTCCCAGAAAAGGAGAAACAACTGAAACCAGGTTCTCAGAGGTAAAACATTCCACAAATACGAGTGAAATGATGGGCACCCTTATGTGTCACTGCTCTCTTGGGATACCTCCCCCCCACCATGAGCTGGCCAAGCTTGGCTGGGCAGCCCCAGCCTGGAGCAAACATCCCACCCTCGGCCCCAGTTCAATCAGATTATGGAGATGTTTGTTTACTTTGGAAAGCAAGGTCTGCAGAAGAGCAGGCGTCATTGGAATTCATTGGAAACATCGGTGCTTACACACGGCATGGGATTTTCCAGAGATCTCCAAGAGAGCAGGGGGTTGAAGGTGGGTTATGAGTGACACTGTAGATGTTGCCTAGCTGCGTTCACCATTGAGGTTGAGGGCAAAGCAGCTGTAAAAGGGAGCTGGGATGCTGGTAGGGTGAGGTGTCTTTCAGCATGCAGTGCATCCTGGGTGAAATTATCATGGGACATACTGGTTCCTGACTTTAGCACAGCTTATGAGGCCCATGGCACTCACCCTGCTCTTCCCCAAAGGCATCCACAAGGAATCTGCACTCCTCCTGGATGCGCTCCTCCAGGCTCCTCTTCCCCAAGCCGAAATTGCGGAGGGTGGTCAAGGTGAACCTTCTCTGCTGCTTCCACAAGTGCCCATTGGAGGAGATAAGTCCTGGCAGACACAAGCCATGATGAGCCAAGGCAGATCCCTCCATGGACAGGAAGAAGCTCCAGAGCTTTATCTTATTTCCAGCTGTCTTGGATCTCTGCAGGGTCAACGCTTTGACCTCGCAGCTGAGATGCTTGTTCTGAGGGAAAACTCACCCATCTTGCTGAAGACCTCTGCATCGATAGGAATTTCAGGGCGATCAATGAAATTTTCCCCTTGGTTTACAAGAACTTCTTTGATGAGCCGCATCCCGTTTACGCACACAAAGACTGTGCTGCCCATCTCCGTGCTGAAGACGTCCCCATATTTTTCAACAAGCTAGGAGGAGGGATGAAATAAATACAAAGGGTTTCATTTGCAATGGAAGGGTCTGCTGGGATTGGGACAGCCCTGGCAGGGACCAGGGGTGAAAATAAGGGAAGCTGAGAGAGGGAGAGGATTTGCCTAAGTGTCTATTTCTCTTTTTTCTTTGACCGAATAACTGATCAGGACTTGGTGTTAATTGGTCATAAATTGAGTAAAACTCTCCAGGTTTGATTTTTTTCAGTCCTGTGTTCTTCCAGCATTTGTTTCGCTCCCTTCCCATACACCTTTCCAGTCCCTGATCAGACCCATGGAGTTCCTAGAGGTGTGACTGCAGCTGTGGTGTCAGGCCCTGCCCTTTGCCCCAGGGATCACACCACACTTATTCCCCTCCTCCTACCTGGGCACTTTGCTGTCAACCATGGACAAAGCCACTGACTACCCTGGGGTGAGCTCCACCAAGTCCTCATGAGCCATGGGGTTTGGGTTAACCCCATGCACTGCATGATGTTGCATAGCTGCCATTCCCTCTGTCCCCTTCCCTGTGGTGCCCACCACCTTTTACCTTATCCACCATGCTTTGGGGATTGCTGAAGCTCATCATGTGGACGTGCCCCAGGAAGGGGATGCGGAAGGGGCTGGGAGGGAAGTTCTTTGGCTTTCTGTGCTTCATGTAGTCGGCAACAAGCAGGAAGACGACGAGGAAGATGAGGAGCATCTGGAAGGAGATGCTGTCCCAGAGGAAGCGCAGCATGGCTGGATGGTGGGGCTCCACGGGGACGTGTCCCACAGCAGGTCAGAGCAGGTGGAGCTCACGATGCACCACTGGACCTCCCAGGTTCAGGGGGAGAGGGACGATGTGCTGTTGCAGCTGTGGACATAAGCAAGACAGCCTGGAGAGGTTCTTACTGTCCTGGCCTGGAGGCTGTTTTCATACTCCTGCTTTCCCAGGTTAGAGTGAGGACTGTTTGATTAAACCCCTTCCTGATTAAGCTCATGCATTTCCTCTGATCTCATTCACAAAAAAAACAAACACAAAACAAAACGCCCCCCCCCTTTCTCCTCCTCCTTCCTGCCACTGCTCTGCAGATCCCCGGTGATCAGTGTCTAAAGGACAGAAAGGAGCTTTGCAGAGCTGGCATTAAAACCTCCCGGCAGCCTCCCCGTGCCCTTCCCGTTGTCAGCCCCGCTCCCTCCTCCCTGTGGTGCCCTCACCGTGCCGTGTCCCCCCGTTGGCCTCTGGGTGCCAGGGAGGCTCCAGCTGCTCCCAACGCCTCGCGTTTTCCTCGTTTGCAGAAGCTCGTTTGCCGGTACGAAGAGTCCTGGACTGAAACCCCAGGGCAGCGGGGACATCCGAGATAAGGTTACATAAACCTTTCACCAACCATCTGACTCAGGGGTTGGTGTTTCAGCGCGTCAGGCTGATGTGGGCTGGAAGTAAACAGCCTTCCAGGATCTGCAGTGGTTTCTAGGCTCTCTCGGTTCCTCATCTCTGTCAGACAAGTGCAACAGAGCAACCTGCTGGGGCCACCAGGCTGTCCCTGCCCCGAGCCCTCCTGCCATCCCTTCCCTCCTTTGAGTCCGTAGCCTGCGCTGAAGCCCCAAGAAGCTCAGGCAGGTGCTGAGAAGCCAAAGCAGATGCCCAGCTCCTCAGGCTGTGCCCCTTCAGTGGCATCTGGTAACAGGCTGTGACACGTTTTCCCATCTAAGTGTGGCTCTGATAGTTGGCCATGCACATACACCACGTTTAGTTTTGACACGATTTGGGTTCATTTACTCTCTTTTGGGGCCTTTGGAGTTGTCCAGGGCCAAAACCAAGGCACAGAGGTGCAACAGTGCTGCTTGAGCAATGCCCTACACGTGAGAGTGAAGCTGCAGCATAACTGTTACACTTGAGAAACTTGGAAAAGTTAAATTATGTTTTATTGTGGAACTTAAAGGGGATAAAACTGATTTTGAGGACAATCTCTTTTTTAGTCTTTTGGCTTTTAAGCAAACTTAAGCATGAGCCTGGGGAGATGCACTTGTTCCCCTTCACTCACATGAGATAATCCACTTAGAAAGCAAACAAATTAATGACTCCTTCCTTTATGGTATGGGATCATTACATTTAAAAATGGGGGTAGTAGGCGAGTGTTTTCCCAACAGATTTAAAAAAAAAAGAGAAAAAAAAAAGATTATTTCAGTCATTTATTCTCTCTGTGAGTAGGTAAGGAAGTACTAACGTAACAGGGAAAGGCAGGTTTGAAATGGAAGAGGGAAGAGATCAATATTTGTTTGCTAACCCAGTGCAAATAATAAATATTGTGCTCATGTACCAGGGGTCAGACCTGCACCAGAGAGTATGAAAAAAATGGAGAAAAACCAGTGCTAAGTCCTGAATGGCTTTGAAAACTTCATAGGTGAAAAAACAGTCCATGGATCTTTTATGTTTTCTCTTTCAGAATAAAGAAGCACCGCAGGAGTCTATAACTGTGAAACATTAATTAAAAATGCAATAGGATTATACTGATCGGTTGGAAGGACGGCTCATTGACAAAATCCCTGTGTGCCCGGCGCGGCAGGGATGTGATGTGCAAAGGACTCTCCCATGTGGCATAAATCTGCCACTGCACAGCCATTACTTTGTAAGGCAGCAAAGGCATCATTGCTGGAGATGGAGGCTGAAGATGGTGGAAATGAGCTTGATTTAATCCTGTTTTCCTGTTAACTATTCCGTGTCCTACATGGGTGCACGCAGAAAAGTCACTTACGAAAGGTGAGAAGAAAAAGGAGTAATTATCTTTGCTCTGACTATATTCCGAACAAAAGGAAACAGGAGAGAGCATTTCTAAGCATTAATGCCTGATCACATAAATCGAAAAAACTCTCTACCAATTTCATATTTAATTAACTCTTTACCAAAGAGACCCTGGTATGGGCAGAAGCAGTGTCTCCACCACAGGCAGTGCCATGTTCCCGACCCACCTTCTCGGCCCCGTGCTATGGTCATGCCTCATGTGTGTGGCCACAGATCTTCTCCAGAAGCGGAAGGGAAGCAGACGAGCTCGTGACTTCCCATCACAAAGCCTCCGCAGAGACACTTCCTTCCTGGTGGCCAGCAGTGACCGTGGACACGGGCACGACCCTTCTGACACTCTCTGCTGCTTTTCGTTTTGCTGGGCTTCAGCTGAACCACTCCTGAGCAACTGTATGTAATTATTTTTTTGCAACTTTTTTTTCCCATTGTGTATTTTACTACCACAAATCTTTTTTGATAAGCCTTTCCTGCTCATGCAACTGCAAAGCTGCATTTTTATAGCCATGGCGTGGCTCCTTATGCCATCCCACTTAGGCTGGCCTGTGGTAGAACCTGTTTCTACCACCCAGTAGCCTCCTAATTAAAACTTCCATGTAATAGCTTTAAACTAAAAGGGGGTAGATTTAGACTAGGTATAAGAAACACATTTTTTATAATCAGAGTGGTCAAAATGGCTTTAAACTAAAAGAGGGTAGATTTAGACTAGTTATAAGGAAGACATTTTTTACAATGAGGGTGGTCAAACACTGGAACAGGTTGCCCAGTGAGATGGTAGATACCCCATCCCCGGAAACATTCAAGGTCAGGTGGGATGGGGCTCTGAGCAACCTGATCTAGTTGAAGATGTCCCTTCCCCTGGCAGGGGGATTTGGACTAGATGACCTTTAAAGGTCCCTTCCAACCCAAACTATTTTATGATGGTCTACAGGTATGAGATTAAAAAACTTTGTGCTCCTGCTGCAGGATCTCTATTTCCATTGCAAAGCAGCAATATGAATGACCTTTAAAGGTCCCTTCCAACCCAAACTATTTTATGATGGTATACAGGTATGAGATTAAAACACTGTATGCTCCTGCTGCAAGGATCTCTATTTCTATTGCAAAGCAGCAATACAGTGGTGTAGGGAACACATACCAAACTGAGGTCGAGGCCACCTGAGCCTCAGGACGGGCCATGGCCACTAGGAAGTCCAAACTGGCACTGAGGCATGAACCCAGAGCTTGTACATCTAAGGCCAGCTGCCCCTACTCACCATGGAGACCTCAGGAAACACAGCCCATGGCCATTCAGGGTGCTGCAGCGTTGGGATCTAAGGGTTGCTAAAATGGTCTCAGGGTGGTGGACGTATCCCCTGTGGAAGAACCACCATGGACTCAACTGTGCCCATGGTTTTGCAGCTGGCAGACACCTTCCTGGGAAGTGCTAGCGGCAGAAATTAAGTAATAAGGCTTTTAAATCCATGCATTTTGTCAAACTGATAGAGGGGAAGAGACAGGAGGCGAAGGGAAGAGCCCCAAGGGTTGTCCTCATTGCAGTGTGCAGGATGTGGCCCTCCTGCCCTTTCCACTGCCACCTGTGTCACGGTGGCTGCTAGATGCCCCATCGTTTTGGCCCAAAAACTACGGGTCAGATGGGAGAAGGGACACTTTACGTCTTGCAGAGGGCTGAAGTCAGGGGGGCAGAGGGTGGCCCTACGCCGGCCTCAGTCGCGAGGCAGCGCTTGGATCTGGAAGGGCTTGGGACAACGAGTGAGGCTGAGCGTGAAGGCGAAGGACAGCGTGGCGGCCGCCGGCACCCGGAAGGTGAACTTCTGCAGGAGGGCTGTGAAGAAGAGGAAGAGCTCGGTCCTGGCCAGCTGCTCCCCGGGACAGGCCCGCTTGCCTGGAAAAAGGAGCAAAACCAACCCCGCTGAGTCCCGCCCGAGCTTCAACCACCCCTCGGGCTCCTCTGGCGCGCGCCGCATTGCACAGGCGGTGGGAGCTTTTCTTCCTCGCAAGGTTAGGTGGCAATGTTCACCCACACATTTTGCAGAAACCTTCCCCAGAAGTTTATTGCCGAGCAAACGGGCTGTTCAGAGAGAGGAAGAGAGGAAACTCGGCAAAAAAACCCACCCCATTTACACAGCTTGTGCATGAGGAAAAAAGCCTGATTTTTTTTTTTTTTTTTCATCCTACAATAACAAATTGATTTCCCTCCTGCTCCGAGCAGTCGGCAATAACTGTTACTGGGATTTTCACTGTGGGGATGGGCTGAAAGCCGGACAAGGAGCAATACCCCCTACTCTGGAGGAGGTGTCTTGGGGGAAAAAAGCAGCATTGCAGAAAGGAAAACCATCTCCCCATCCATCATCCTACCTGCAGAAAAGGGCAGAAAAGCCTCCCGCCTCCTGTACTGGCCGTTTTCCAGGAAATGTTCAGGATTAAAGGTGTCTGGAGTCTCCCACACGTTTTTGTCAAACATTATCGAAGTCAGGCTGGTCATCACGGTGGTGCCCTGCAAGAGGTGGAGAAAATGGGTGATTATGCGAAGGAGAAGAGCTGACATGTTGTCAGACTAGTTTATTATTAGCTCTGTTCCACACACAATGTAAACTACAATTTTTTTTTATAAGGGTGAAATATTTTCCCGTAAGCTATGTAATTAAATTAGGGGTGAAAGCCTACAAGATTGTTCACTTCTGGGCTCCGCTACGTATCACCATAGTGTCGGTCTGTACCTTGTGCTGCTGTCGCTGGTGATGTTAATATAAGCTACCTTTAAATTGATAATGTTGTGTTCCCATAGGAATTGGAAGCAATTCGACCAAATTATTTTCAATTGACATGCTTTTTTATGCTTTTTTCAAAAAACCTGATCTGGTTTATCCCCACATCCTCCATCAGAAAAAGAAAAATATTTAAATCAGTGTGGAGCAAATCTCCCAGATTTTTTTATTTTTAATTTTCCTTGGTGCATAAACATGGAAGAGACTAGGTGTCTCTAAATTGCATATTTGCTTTCCTAATGCCAGAACAGTGTGTAAGCATCAATACCAAATACCTGGCTTTTATCAAGTGCTACTTTTAATAGATTTTTTTTTAATACCCAAACTATTTGCTTTCCTATGTTTCTTGGCCCTCTGTTCCCATAATGCCTGGAGGACATCTTGTATAAAATTTAAGGGATAAACCTTGTAATACTGAAGATTTTGATCAGCACTGTAGGATTTCACAATTCTCCTGCATAAGGAGGTGAGACCCACAAGAGCCCTACAGCATCTGTCAGGAAGGCTTGTATTTTCTATATAACTGTGATATTTTGATAAAATCCTGCTGGTTGGTTCGCCTCCAGGTGACTTAGGCGATGGAGACCTCGCTCTGGTAGGGCAATGGGAGGGTTGGTGGTCTCCACATACTTTGGGCAGGTGGAAGCCTGCCAGGGTGGTGTCACTGGTGGACATCTTGGGCACCCCCAGCGGTACGACATTGCCCATCCTCAGGACCTCACTCAGCACCGCGCTGGTGTATGGCATGTTCTCCTTGTCAGCCATGGTGGGCTGGCGGGACTGGCCAATCACTGTGTCGATTTCCAGCTGCACTTTCTCTGTGGAAAGCAAAAAAAAAAAAAAAAAAAAAAAAAAATTCTGTGCTCAAAAGGCTCCCAATAAGAAAACTGGGGTGTAGACATACCCAACTTATGGTAAAGGTGGAAATCTGAGTTTTGCTTACCTGGTTTTGGGATAAATCAAGGAGCCATTGGTGGCCCTACCTTGAATGTCGGGGTACGCGGCCATGTAGAGCAGAGCCCAGCGGATGGCGGTTGCTGTTGTCTCAGTCCCAGTTAAGAAGAGGTCCAGGGTGCAGCACAGTAGGTTTTCCTCATGGAAATACGAGCTGGTGTCACCCTTAAACTTGGGGAAAAGCATGGCAATGAAAACTCTTATTGGGGAGGAGATGCTTTCAAAAATCTAATCCAAAACCAGCCATATATAAGTCAAGTCCTGCTGGTATTTTATTATTCATCACAGCTGGACTTGGAAATTTCTAACCCTTACTTTCATTGAATTCAAAGCAATGTGGGCTTCTTTGAAAAACACTCTATTTGCTGTAGCGCGACTTTTGAAAGCAGGTAACATTTTTAAATGTGAAGTTTCACAATAGCAAACACAGGCCTGTGAGCTCACATAGCAATGTGAACATGTTCCCTGAGAGTCCTCCTACGCCACACGACAGAACGAAAAATGGAAGAAGACAGAGTGTAAATACTTTCAAATGAAAAAAATAAAAAAAAATCTGTGTGTTTTCAAGTGATCAGGCTCCTGCTGTTGCTAAAAAGTTTGACGTGGAAGAGGTAGGGAGGAGAAGGCAACGCGGGAGGCACGGGCTCCTGTGACAAAACAGCTTTGAGTCCTGTCTGCTCATTTCTTGGGTTAAGATTTAAGGTCACTTTAGGTATTTTTCTCTTACTTTTAGGTATTTTTCTCTTACTTTTTCTATTTCCTTCAGGTAATAGTCAATATAGTCTCCTGCCTCGGACTGGTCCAAATCTTCTTTGTGCTTTGCAATCACTCCCTTCACAAAATGCTGAAGCTTCTCCCAGTGCCTGAAGATTTTCCTAAAGGGTCCTGGCAGCCATCTCATGATCAAAGGAAAAGCATTATACAGCTGGTGAGAAACCAAACAGAGAAAAAGAGCATTTCTTGAGTTGAAAAAAAGCAGGTATCACAGTTGAGATGATAGTACAATTTATTAGCTCTGCTTGTTACCAGGAAAAAAACAGTTTTGCTGCAAAGGTCAATTTAGCTACACAGACGTAAACAAGTACAAACATGAGAAGAATTGGCCAGATGTTTTCTGCTAATCTCTAATATTGGGTGGCCAAAGCTGTCACCTAATGTAAGGTGGCCACCAGAGTCATAAATCGGTGTGGATACAGAGGAGCCCCTTAGTGCTGGGGTCTGTGGAGGGGCAGAGATCAGGCCTGGCCCATGGTGTGTGGCCGTGCAGAATGGCTATGTGCAGTCTGCTCACAAATCCACTTGCTTGGGTTATAAACTTGGACTCTCAGATGGCTTTGTCCTAAATAAAAGTTATTTGAGAAATGACTGGGAAAGGAATGGGGGGAAAAGAAGGGAGTTTTCACTGAGAGTGCTACTAAATATTATTCTTCTTTTTAGAAATGACTGGGAAAGGAATGGGGGGAAAATAAGGGAATTTTCACTGAGGGTGCTACTAAATAATATTTCTTTTGGTAGAAACATTGATATTTTAAAGCTTTTTCCATTGCTCTTCAGTTATATCAGGCATACGACTGTTTTTATAATCCTGTAGTGTTTTTTTCTCCATGACCCTCAATAACTCGCTTCCTTGTTTTCCTGATGGATTTTGTGTATAAACCCAGTCTAAAGTAAAACAATATTCCTGGTCATTTCCCTTATAACATGCTCTTTTTCTACAGGGGAAACCAGATTACATCAGTGCCTTAGAAACTCCGGTTTCTGAGCTCTTACATGCAGCTGAAGCTAGAAAAGCATCTGACCAGCTTTACCTGGCCCCAGAAACTTCCCATGAGCAGCAGAGTTTCAGCCAGTGAGTGCAGTAATTCCTGGAAACGGTTGTCATGGTAGTCGAAGCGGTTCCCAAAAGTTATGGAACAGATGATGTTCGAAACAGCGCTATTAATTTTGTAATGAGGGTCAAATGGCTGTCCTGGAGGAAACAAAATGAAAGACAACTTACTTTTTTTTTTTCTCTAAAGTCTCAGTCAAACCCTCATTCTCTACCACATCAACAGTCAGGAAGTTGGGGTGATATGTCACCTGCTTTTCACCTATGGTGATGGTAAGGCTGCATCTTGTGTCCTGGGGTCCCCACCACCCCCATCCCCTTCAGCACTCCGTTGGAGGTTGGATGTTTTGTGCCATGACATCCTTTCTCCAAGGACATCCCCTCCTGTCTCCAGCTCACACACACAGAGCTGCCGTAGCAGGGTTTGAACTGTTTTCCAGGGAAAATAACCAGTAGGATGCCACGCTATGGCTGTCAGGTTTGCATGCTCCAACATGGTGTTGGTGCCAATTTTAAATGCCAAGAGAGGGTCCCTCAAAGCTTAGCCTGGGGCAGGGAGCCCAGGATTAACCATGCTGCAAAAATGCCATTGCCCTGTCCTTTAACTGTCCACCACAAAGAAATCAAGTGGGATGGGAAAGAGGGAAGAGGGTGAAGATTGGACGTCTCTGTGGCTGCCTATAAAATCCAGCAATAGCTCTTATGGCTCATAGATATGATGCTCATAGCTCCTAAAAGAGCAAGGTGTGGTGTGACGTTCACCACATCAGCATTTCTAGGGAGAACTATGGAGCAGAGACCACCATCTCGCATCTAGGCAGCCTGGAGAGCTACTTGCCATGATAGAGAGACCAGTATCAGTAACTCTTCCATTCCAGCCCTGAGCTGCTGTCGCTACGCTGGGGAGCATCGCTTTGAAATGCAAGGCACTGTGCACGGGGCTGCTGATCTCTCTGCTCTTCAAGAAAGTAATTAAACTGGGCTGATGCTCAGATATTAGAGTGATGGACATGATCACTATTTGTCATTACTAATGGGAAGAAAGGCCCAAACCAGCAGCTTAATTAGTTTATTGATTAGGACTATAAAGGACTATAATCAATTGGCAACATGAAGTATTTGGCCTGTTCAGTGCAACAGCAATTAAAATGGAGCAAGTTCAGTATATAATTTCACAATTCCTATTTAGATCTTTCTTGTTTACTATATATAGCTCCATAGAATTAGCTAAACCCCATCTGCTTCTATTTAAAGCTGAAGTGCAACATCACCCATGTACCAACATACAAATTATTCTTACTAATATCCCTCTGGCAGTTCTTGAAAGCTGGACCATAAAAGAGCAAGGCACACGCTTCATCTGTGCACGATACAAAAGGAAAGCCTGACTAAACAAGTTCTAAAATACTTTGCAAAAGCAAGGACAAGCAGAGGTTAACTAAGCCTCTGAGCATACGTGCCTGATGATAGCAGGAGAGCTGCATTTATTCCTCCACAGAATACAGGAGACTCTCTTAGCTATATAAACACCTATATTAACAAACATCTCATATCTATTTGCTTAATATTAATAAAGAAGAACTAAAACCGTAGGGCTGAGGACTGAGGGAAGTGCTAAAAGGCGAAGTCTGGAAGTGTGAGATAGAGATTTGAGCTATTGAAGAAATGTTTTGCATGTTCAAAGCTGCGTCGGAGTAAGAGTTTTACTTCTCGTGGTTCATTTAGCTGGAAGCTTTGGGCATGGTGCTGTGCCTTAACCACCCACCTTTCTCCTCCTCGATCGTCTCCACGAGGTACCGGCTCTCCTCTTGCACTTTTTCCTCGAAACTCACAGCAATGCTTTTCAGTGTCGCCGAAGCAAACTTTCTCTGCTGCCTCCATATATGCCCATTTGATGATATGAGCCCTGCAGGTGCAAAAAAACAATCGAACAAACCTCGGTCTGGGTCACGTGTGAGTGACAGAACTCAGAAACGGCCATTTGTCTGGAAGAAAAGAACCCAAACCAAAGCCAATAAACCCCGTAGACATTGAAAAACTATAGCTTTGCCTGGGAATTAAAATTCAAGAGTAATTGGCTTATGCTAAAGATCTGGCTTTATGGATTTGCTTTAATCTGCTACTTTGTCACTTTGCGTGGGAAAAAAAGGTGTAAGCCAAAATACTATAAGTACTATCACGCTGTTGGCAGAGCTGCAGGCAGGAGCACCGTACACCATCTCTGGAGCTATATGCAACTCAGGGAGAAAAAGTAAAGGAGAAATGAAAACCAAAGGAAGAACTCTTCAAGTGTATCGATCGCTAGGCAGCTTGCATTTATTTCTCCTCTTTCATCAAAACCTGACTTTGATCCCGTCATTATTCCTAAATCCCAGAGAGATTAAAATGTACACCTGTGAGATTATGAGACTGAATTCAATTTTTACCTTCCTCTATGCAAGCTTTTATGGGTGCAGTTACCAAGGGTTGAATTCAGCCTATTTCTTTCACTCAAATTGTTATCATTGCAAATAGATTAAAAAAACATGTACCAAAATCCTGGTATTTGTGCTTACCAAAGCCTCTAAATATTTCTTGGAGAAGTGGAATATTTGGCCGATCCGTAAATATTTCTGCCTGGTGGACAAGAGCTTCTCTCACCATTTGGTACCCGTTGATTACCACAAAAGTCAGACTTCCAAACTGCACACTGAAGATGTTCCCATACCGACCAGTAAGCTGAAAGAGAGTTCGTCACCCTCTGAGAGAAAGAAGATGGAGATTTTCAAAACTCACCTGGACGAGACCTAGAGAAATGGCACATAACTTTGAATTTAGTCCTGCTTGGAGCAAGGGGACTTAAGAAAAACCCAAACCCAAGACTGCAGGTCACATCCAACCTAAACTATTCCATGAAGGCTGGAGATGGTGTAAAAACATGCTAGAAAGCTGTGGTGTGGGAGAGATGGTTTCCTGGTATTTGTTAGCAGATGTGACCTGGGTTTCACCAGGCAGTTGCATCAATTTAACTTGTAACAAGGACATCACTTGCTTTGTAACTGATGGGCATCTGCTCTATCTCTTTTCGTCCTATGTCAGGAAGGGTACAAGAGGTGAAGGCACCACCTGGGTCACCATGATCAGGCTCTTGCTGCTGAGGGCAAAGCACAGCAAATAGTCCCTTTCATCAACTCAGATGGGAAGAAAGAGGAGGAACGTGTAGGTCTTCCTCCATTACAAGTGTCTTTCCTATTGGACCTTCCTACTCCCATGGAAGAGGACGTGATAGTAAGAGATAAAACCAAGAAGGGTTGCCTCTCATATATGCTTACTTTATAGATAGTTCTTCAGAGCTGCCCTTGCTTACAGGTTTGGTGATTGAAGTCACTGAAGAGCTAAAATGTTGTTAGTAGAAGAAATGTCCATGGAGCTCTTACCTTCTGCAGCGCAAGATGGAGAGGCTGCTTAAAGTCCACAAAGGTTCCCACAAGAGGAAAGAGCTGTGGCCCTGGAGGGAAATTCCTGGGACGCCTCTTTTTCAATAGGTCAATAATCAAAAGAAACACGACCAGAACCACCAAAAGTGTCCGCCCATTTAGCTTTTCCAAGAAAGAAACCAAATTAGGCCAAAACCGAAGCTCCATCTTGGTTGAAGAACTCACAGTTTTTCATCCCAGGGAGGGACTTGATGTTGGTGTTACATTTGCTAAAACAGAAGTAAGAAAAGAGTGGAAAGAAAAAAAAAACAAGCTAAGAGGCTGATAGCTTACTGGGGGCAGGACTTGCCATGGGCAAGCTGCTTTCTCATACACAGCCAGTGCCAGACCACCTGCTGAATAGCTAAGTTTAAACACCAGGATCTTCAAAAACAACCCCAAAACCTCAAAAGTTTGCCTGAACAAAAGCGATCTTGCAATCCTTTAGCCTTACAGCTCTGTCAACTCCCTCATTTTTGTGTGGAAGAACATTATTCGCTTCTGCCCTTAACAAGGAGCTCCTTTATACGGACACCTAGCTGGGATTATAGGCATTACAAACATTTGAGGTTAGGTGAAAGCAGCTTACTTGGCTAATTACATATGGTGGGCGTTGCATAATTTAAAAAACGGTAAGGCATCTGGGGTGATGGACACCATACAAGTCATTAAGGGGCTGATCCTGTTAAGTGCTAAGCACTGTCTGCAAAGGGCTGGATGCCTTCAGCGCCCACCAAAGCCTGCCTGGAGTCATCAGGTGAAGTTCAGACAAGGGAAGCACTGCGAGAGCCCAGGGTTCTGCCCAGCCACTTGAATGAGCGTTAAAGGAGATTAATTTTGAGACTGAGAATGTAGGCTCATGTGCTTGCCAGCTGAAGGAGAGATTGGAACTTAGGCATTTAAATCTCCTGGGTTTTCCGAAAATCTCCTTCAAATAAAGCTTCACGCTGTCCCAGGGGAAGACTGCAGTGGACTGACACTGACCTTTGTGACCATGAATCAACCTCACGTTGCTTGCCAATATTTTAGCTACAACTTGTTTCCAGCTTTTTTTTTTCCTTTTAAGAAATTTACTTTGCAAACCATCTAAATTTATACTGAAACGAAACTGTCAATAATAATTTTTCAAATAATTTGTTCAAGTTATGGTGAGAAGTTCAGAAGGATGGTAAATTTTTATTGCTTTCAACATTTCTTATTTTTCAGGAAAAAAGCCCAAATTTTCATAGGAATTCATAATTGGGAAAAAGTTTTGGTATTTTCTAGTCTTTCACCACTTTTAGAAGCTTTGCTGTCCGTGTCTTTCATTACCTTGGTGACTACAGTACAGGAGCACAGACAAGCACCTCAGGTATTGCAGGAGTCCTTTTTAAGGACTTAATACCTCTCTGCAACCCAACAGTTCTTGGTTGGAAATGTTATTTACAGGTTTCTGGATGGCATTACTCACCAAATGGGGAGCAGCAATGGGAGAAACACCTCGCGTCACTGGTCTATAAAGTATATTTTACATGCCTCTGTAGCACAGTTGTGAGCAGCAGTGGTTGGACATGCTTTGGTTGTCCCCACGCTGGTGCACCCGTGATGCTCCTGTACCCATTTGCATCAACACACCGATTCCACTCTTCCTGGTGCCGCAAGCCAAGCCTCGCTTACCAGAGGCTAAATCAGGATAGTGGGCTCGTGCTCTTCATCCTGGCATCGGGGAGATGACTCGGTTGGTGGAGGTGTCAGCCTACAGCATGCTCAAAGGGACTGTGATGATAAGGCGTCAACTTCTGCTAGCCCAGTTTCACTCCTCTGTTCTTCGCTATGCCATATGATTTGTCAGCATGCACACAGAGTGCAGATCCCTCTACCACTTGTGGCTGCTGTGAATCGGGCTACGTGCAAAGCCAAGGTGTTAATGTGTTCTTCTGGGTGGTGTTGTGGGGGTGGATGCATCGTGGTTGACAGGAGAAATGTTATTTTTAGCAGGAGAAGCACATTTTGCATGTACTCACATGTGTCTTGTCAGTCAGAAACCTCAAGCCTATTCCTTTGCCTTGAAGCTTCGCATGTCCAAATTCATCTCTTCACAAAGTCCTTAACATGCCAGATTCACTAAAAATTAGGGAAGAGTATTCCGGTATTACCCGGGCTCTCCTAACCTTGGTAGACAATGACACCAGCGTGTTACCAAACTGCATTGCGATGATGCTATTTTGGGTCCCAGCCTTTAATCAAATGGATTCCCAGCACGTGGTGATGTGCAAATCCCTGAAGCACTGAGGAAGTCGTATCGCTGCGGCGCATGGGCAGTACAAGCGTTGGACAATTCCTATTTTGGCAGTCTCAAATAGACCCTTAGCTGTAACATCCTGGTCTCCTGGAAGACGAACCTGTGGCTCTAGCCAGCACCACAAACACAGGGACATCGGTCTTCTGTGGTCCAAATGGCCAAAATGTGAATTAATATGAGGTAAGGATGTACACCCACACATCTAATCGGGAGCGGGATATAAACCCACCTTCACCAGTCCCTCCTTAAATACCTCTTCTGACCACAGCACAAAACTTTTTGATCATCTCACCTGAGCACATGGATACTGGGGAGATAAATTGTGCCATATTGCATGGACACACACACATCACTGCTTGAATATTAAGGCATCTTGAACAGCCAACAGACAGAAATTGGCCCATATGCTTTGTACCTTCTTCCCTGGCTAGATGTCTAACTGTGTGCAGAAGGTTTTGAAACACAAAGAGAAACATTCTGTTAAAAACGCAATTACCATTTGTTTTTCAAGATATAGTATCCCATTATTTTTTCCAGAGAAGTGAAATTCAATAAGGTTACAACAGAATGTAGTCCAACAGTTACCGTACTTTCAGAGCATTATTTAAGCTACAGAATTTCTTAATGATTAGAAACATATGTAGGAAAAATCACATGCAAAATGAGAATGACTGGAGACAATTTTTCCCCTGAACACTTTTTTTTTTCAGGCAAGTAACAGCTCACCCACTACTGTGGTTCCATCCACCACGTTGGAGGTGTGAGACCCCCACCCACCCACCGAGCTGTGCGCTCGGGTCACATCAACCGACAGGCTCCAACAAAGTCCAAGGCCCCATCCTGATTTACATCAAGGAATATTTTCCTGCTTCTTTCCTCCTTATGTCAGACCCAAATGAGCAATGCCATTTTCACCATGGGCAAGATGATGAACAGCAGCGACCACCCTGATGTGTGTGTTAAGACCATGTCCCAGAGGGCTTTCCTGCAGGTGCAGCTAAGCTTTCATGATCCAGCTCAGGTGAGTCCCAGTGGACTTGGAGGCAATGGCAGCTTCGGACATTCATTTCCTTTTAGGATTTGCTTTACTGGATCAAATGAAATCTACAGGAGATTCGTAATTGCAGAAGGTGAGGAACGGAGATTGCTGGGGCACCTGTACCTCCAGGAGTGAGCTCAGAAAAGACATGGTTGAACCCAGTCAGTCCTTAAGTTTTGGTTCCCCTCTTGAGGTGGTTTCACCGGGACATAAGTGCTCCCATGGGATCTCAGGGCTCAAATACCTCCAGGAGTCTGACTCCAAGCTCGAAAACCAGGGAGCCAAGTCCATATTTACTGCTGTGCATGCATGGCGAACACTAAGTGCCTCCAATTTGGCATCTTCTCTCTCTCCGATCTAAGACTAGAAGCAAATATTCTCCAGGTTTTCCTGGGACTCCCATAGATCTCTCAACCATAGCCTCCTGGCCACAACAACATTTCCAGCACTAATTAAAGCTGTAAGGCAGGCAACTGTCACCATGAATGGGTAAACTGAGGTAAGGAGTACTCCTCATGCCTCCAGACCCCGGATCACCCCTGACATTTTGATCTTTGGGCCAAGATTTTACTCCCTTCACAATCTGGTGCTGCATCACCTTTGTGAGCTCTGGACCACCCCACACGGTAGACCCCATAGGGATGTATCAAACCAGATTTTGGGGGTGCTGGGTGCTCCCCAGCCAACAGCAGCCACCCACGATCCCCCCGCAACCTGGCAGAGACAGGGCTGCAACTCCGGCTCTTCACATGGGATGCTTTCTTGCAATGCAGCTCTTCCTCTGACTCTCCGAAAACCTCCAAACTACCCTCCTTTCTAAGATGCACCTTTTCAGTATTCACAGAGAAGAGTACAGTCACATATTCCTCTCAAAGCCACAAGGACTTGACTAGAGCTAAAATGTCATTTATGTACATATCACAAGCGTTTTTCTAGGCACAGATGTCTTTCTGGTGCCAATATGCTGTTTATGTACTTATCTGTCACAAGCACATGTCTACATACATATGCCCTGCTGGCAGAGGCACAGAGCATTTTGAAACTCTTATTAGACTGCTAATGAATAATACGCATACAAAGGAGAAAACAGAAGGTGGATCTATCAGGAACAGCCTCTTTCTTAACTACCTTTTAATTGTAAGAGAGGAAGAAAAGAGATGAATTTTGATATGTTGGCATCTGTGAAGGCCTGCTTAGCAGCATCGAACGCCATCATTTTCCAAGCGGATTTTTCAAAAAAGTTGGCAACAGCAGTACGATCTGCCTTTAAAACAAACAACAGAACTTCCTTAAAAAAAAAAAAAAAAAAAAGCCCACAAAATTTTGACACTGAGAGTATTGCAAATCCTGGTGCCAATGATGTACGATAGTGTGATTGTCACCATGGAATGCTGAAAAGCCCGAGCAGCTGTTTGGCATATTGACAGTGCGAATTCGGAGCGTTTTAAATGCAAATGACAGTATTCAATTGATCGCACGAAAACAATGGGTCATAGCCTTACCTTTCCTTGGCTATGCTCTGAATAATCAGTCTGCAAATCCATGCACAATAGGGATATTGTACACGTTCTGGGGATTTTGTTCCCCGCGTACAAGGGGGTCGATATGATGCCACATTTGGGCAGAGCTGAAAACGAGGTGCTGCTGCACCGTCCTGGGCACCAGGCTGGGGTGAGGTGGAGAAAGGGGCATAATTTGCTCCAAATCCACCACCTCCTAAGTATCAGCCTGTTTTTCTTCACTTCTATCCTTTCCTGCTTGCTCTTTAATCATTCCCAAGGGTGGCTGGCTTTCTGCCTGACTTGTCTCCATTATACCCTGCTGCAATCAATATGGCAAGCAGAAATCAGCAGGAGAAGGCATGTTCTGCTCTCAGTGAGAGCCGGTGGGAGGGAAGGAGATCAGGCCAGCCAGCTGCAACCCCAGCCCAGCAGGCAAACCGAAATCCAGCCGAAAA